CCATCCAAAAACAGCTGAATACACACCCTTTTCAAGTGCACATACAACATTCTGCAAGACAAATCACACACCAGGCCTCAAAACAAGTCTCAATAAATTTAAAAAGACTGAAACCACATCAAACATCTTTTCTAACCACAAGAATCTAAGACTAGAAATCAACCACAAGAAAGAACTGCAAAAACCACAAACACATAAAAGCTAAGCAATCTGCAACTAAACAACTAATAGGTCACTGAAGAAGTCAAAGAGGAAATTTAAAAATATCTTGAGGTAAATAAAAATGGAAACACAACAATCACAATCTATGGGATGCAGCAAAGGCAATTCTAAAAGGGAAGTTTATAGTGATACAAGACTACCTCAGAAATAAAGAAAAATCTCAAACACCTAACTTTATACCTAAAGGAACTAGAAAAACAAACAAACAAAACCCAAAGTTAGTAGAAGGAAAGAAATCATAAAGATCAGAGCAGAAATAAATGAAATAGAAACTAAAAAAAAAAAAAAGTGAAACTAAGACCTGGTTTGTTGAAAATATAAACAAAATTGACAAACTTTTAATTAAACTAATCAAGAAAGAGAGCCGAAATAAGAAATAAGAAAGAAGCTACAACTGACATCACAGAAGTATAAATGATCATAAGAAGTTACTACAAACAATTATACACCAGTAAAATGGACAACCTGGAAGAAATGGATAAATTCCTAGAAATGTACAATCTCTCAAGATGGAATCAGGAAGAAACAGAAGACATGAACCAATCAACAACCAGTGATGAAGTTGAACCAGTAATTTACAAACTCTCAACAAACAAAGTCCAGGACCAGATAGTTTTTGGGTGAATTCTATTGAATGTTTAAAGAAGAATTAACATCTATCTTTCTCAAAGTATTCCAAAGAGCTGAAAATGAAGGAATGTGTCCAAACTTATTCTCAAAGACCAGCATTTTTGATACCAAAACTAAAACTACTACAAGAAAAGAAAATCACAGGCCAGTATCACTGATGAACATAAGATGCAAAAATCCTCAACAAAATATTAGCAAACCAAACTCAACAATACATTAATAGGTCACACACCATGATCAAGTGGGATTTATCTCACGGATGCAAGGACGATTCAACATTTGCAAATCAATCAAGGGGTAACACCACATTAACAAACTGAAGAATAAAAATCATATGGTCATTTCCATAGAGGCAGAAGAAGCTTTAACAAAATTCAGCATCTGTTTATGATAAAAACTCTCAACAAAGTGGGTACAGAGGGGCCATAACATGATAAAGGCCGTATACGGTAAGCCTATAGCTAACTTCATACTCAACAGTGAGAAACCGAAAACATTCCCTCTAAGATCAGGAGCAAGACAAGATACTGCCACTTTTATTCAAAGCCCTAGCCACAACAATTAGACAAGCAAAATAAATAAAGGGAATCCAGATTGTTAAGTAAGAAACAGAACTGTCACTGTTTGCACAAGACATGATACTATACACAGAAAATCCCGAAGATGCCACCAAAAAACTATTAGAACTACTAAATGAATTTGGTAAAGCTACAGGATACAAAATTAATATACAGGAATCTGTTATGCTTCTATACACTAACAACGATCAGAGAAATTAAGAAAGTAGCTTCATTTCCAATTGTAACAAAAATAATAAAATATCGAGGAAAAAAACTAACCAAGGAAGTGGAAGACCTACACTCTGAAAACTCAGACACTGATGCAAGGAATTAAAGATGACACAAACCAATGGAAAGCTGTACCAGGCTCACGGACTGAAGAATTAACGTCGTTAAAACGACCATACCACCCAAGGCAATCTACAGATTCACTACAATCCCTGTTGAAATACCAAGGACAATTCTCCCAGAACTAGAACAGATAACTAAAACTTGTACAGAAGCATAAAAGACCCCAAAGAGCCAAAACAATCTTGAGAAAGAAAAGCAAAGCTATGAAGTCTCACAACACTCTGGTTTCAAACCGTACTACAAAGCTACAGTAAGCAAAACAACATGGAACTGGCACAAAAGCAGGCATATACGTCAGTGGGACAGTACAGAGCCCAGAAATAAACCCATATTTACATCATAACTAATTTATGATAAAGGAGCCAAAAACACACATAGGGAAAAAAAAGTTTCTTCAATAAACAGTGTGAGGAAACCTGGACAGTTACATGTTAAAAAAAGGAACAGGAACAATATCTTACACCATGTACAAAAATAAATTCAAAATGGATTTAAAGACTTAAATGTAAGTCCTGAAACTCCTAGAGGAAGACAGAAGACATAAGCAGTATGGTCCTTAGAAGTATTTTTTATCTGTGTCCTCAGGCAAGGGAAACAAAAGCAAAAACAAACAAATAATGTTACATCAAACTATAAAACTTTGCAAGGTGAAGGAAATTATCAACAAAATGAAAAGGCCACCTACTGAATGGGAGAAAATATTTGCAAATAATATATCTGATGAGGGGATAATATCCAAAACATACAAAGAATTCATACAGCTCAGCATGAGAAAAATAGAACCTAATTTAAAAACTGGGCAAAGGACTTGCACATTCATTTTGTCCAAAGATGATAGACAGATGGCCAACACATATATGAAAAGATACTCAACATCACTAATCAGGAAAATGCAAATGCAAACCACAATGGGATATCACTTTACACCTGTCAGAACAGCTACAGTAAAAAAGACAACAAATAACAAATGTTGGCAAGGATGTAAATAAATGCACTTTTGGTAGGAATGTAAACTGAGTGTAGGCATTATGAAAACAGTATGGTGACCCCTAAAAAAATTAAAAACAGAACTGCCATATGATCAAGCAATTTCACTTCTGGGCATTTGTCCATAGAAAAATAAAAACACTAATCTGAAAAACACATATGCACACCAATGTTCACTGCAACATTATATACAAGAGCCAAGATATGGAAGCAACTTAAGTGTCCATTGATGGATGAATGGATAAAAAGAAAACAAAACTGGTATACATATATACAATGAAATGTTAGCCATTAAAAAAGAATGAAATCTTGCCATTTGTCACGGATCCTGGGGAATAAGTATTATGCCAAGTGAAACTGTTAGAGAAAGAAAAATACAGTATGATTTCAATTATGTGTGGAATCTAAAAAACAAGACAAATCAGCAAACAATAGAAACAGATTCACAGATACGGAAGAAAAATAGGCGGTTGCCTGAGTGGGATGGGGTGGGGGGGCTGTGAGTAAAATAGGCGAGGGAGATAAAAAGGCAAACTGCCAGCTACAAAGTAAATAGGCAATGGGGATGAAATGTTCAGCGCCGGGAAAGTGAAGTCGCTCAGTCGTGTCCGACTCTTTGCGACCCCGTGGACTGTAGCCCACCAGGCTCCTCCGTCCATGGGATTCTCCAGGCAAGAATACTGGAGTGGGTTGCCATTTCCTTCTCCATCAGCACTGGGAATGCAGTCAATAATACTGGGATAACTTCGTATGGTGACAGATGGTGACTGACTGTGGTGACTATTTTGTGATGTACGGAACTATCATATCACCATGCCGTTTACCACGCAGGGCTGCACATCTGTCACACCTCAATTTAAAAAACAAGCAACCTTAATCACTACACAATAACTGACACATCAAATTGATACTGTGTGAATAATGCTACTGATTCTTAACAAAGCTATTATTTGAGAAGCTTACTTCACTGAAATTTAGTAATTTTTTAATGCTTTGTTTTCAAGTCAAATCACAGGTACCTATTTTTCTCTTAAATATGTTATTTTTCCAGTTTCTCTTAAACATTCAGAACAAATACTTATTCTTGAAATAAATGATGTATCTTTACAGAAATTTTCCTCACATTCAAGCTTACTTTCATACTGTTTCATTGTCTAAATTTAAATCTCTTGCCAGACACATTCATTAACAACTATCTCAAAGGATATTCTAACAGTAAAATTATTATTAAATAATAGTAACTGTTATTCTCAATGTTTTACTTGGTTTTTATGGCAAAATACATCCCTGAACAAACACAGATATCTCAGTTTATTTAATCTCACATAAATTTTTTAATTTTTTTGCTTTATGCAGTCAATTTTTATACCACTTTTAAAGGGAGAGACAGTTCTATACAGAATGGTTAGTGGCACAATAGTGGCTTTAAGACTAAATTTTTAAATGTTGCAGCACATCCCTATTGCCTTCATAATTCATACAGTTCCATGTGCCACATAAGAAAATCAATTCAAATACACAGTAGTACCCTGTTCTTGGTGATTGATCACTACTTCTTTCTGTAAGTTTAAGCAGGAAGACTGGAATATACAGCTAGTTAAACTTTTCAGTAACTAGACAGCTTAGTTTCTATACCATGAGGGAAAGAGAGCTCTTTCCTTAATGATTCTTATATTTTCTAATCCATTGTAGAGACATATTTTTCGGTGAAAACTAACTAACCAGTAACACGAGAAGTAATAAAGTCAACGTGCCAGTACCAGAACACAGAGAAAGGGTCTGAAAAAGGCCTCACAGCATAAATGCAAGGGCTGCCAGGGAGACACCTGCAAACCCACTGCCATGTTCCTTATTCATAGGCACCCTCTTATTTTCTGTCTGTGCACAAGGATTCACTGAATGCTCTACAGTCTGACATTGTGACTGAGCCCCAAAGCCAACAGACAGCCCAGAACCTTGAGGGACATGTGTTCACCTCAACCCTACTACTTTTATGGGGAAAAAAAAAAGAGGCATACAACGTTCCTGTTCCATTGTCAATATCTGTACCGCCACTGTCGTTACATTTCCCACCTTTTTATTCATAATCTCCAGTGGTAGAGGTCAAGTCATTTAATAGGTATAATGGTTTTCAAACTTGGTCTCAATCTTGACTTATCAGTATTTAAAAAGCTCATATGTCATTTGGAATGCTTGCAATGTCTTACTAGCAAACGAGAAAAACAAGGGAGATGAAATGTGAGGTGGAACCTTGAATTCTCTGATGTCCAGCACGGCGTACGCATGTGTGGGGACCAGGCCCCACTTCTCGCCTTCAGCCTCGGTCATCACTCCAGTAGATGCAGTGATGAGGACATCTCCTTTGTGAAATCTGGAATGGACCCAACAGATCAATAACCAAAGGTAAACACATCCGTATCTCAGATTTCACCATCCTTCCTTTCGTCTTGTGGTTTACACGAAAATTTCCACAAAGTGGAAATCTTTTCTAATACAGGCTATTCTCAACACCCACCAGTGAAGTACATTTTTGTTTTACAGCAAATCAGAAAAAACTATCACATTTATTTGTTTTCCCTCCCTGTTTCAGACAAACTAATTCTCAGAAACCTATCAATGAAGAAAAATAAATGCTAAATTTTAAAATGATTTACAAATAAAGGTGAAGATGGGAAATACCAAATGCATTTCTCCCAAAGCTGTATCATTTTATTTATCAAATCACTGAGCTTTCTGGCTACAAGACAGTTTTCCAGTTCTTCACATGGATGATCCATTTAAGGCTTAAGTATCTTTATGTTCTCACCCTCCTCTTTTCCCACCTTCCCTCAAATTGGTAAGTACTCAGGAAGTACAAAATAGCCTTTCCAATATTCCTTTATCCAAATGTTTTGGATTATCTACCATCTGGATTAACAACTGTAAGCGTCACTGAGGGCTGGCTGGAGCGAGTGCATAAAGTGAATATTTTAAAAACACAACGTCCCTAATAACTGAAAATGACAGCCTCTGCAGGATCCATTCTCAATAAGACATAAAGTTTTCAAACGGCATCTTTTAGTACAAAAGAGAGAGAAGAGTTTACCTTTGGTAAAGCATTCGGAAAGAATTATCCTTGCTGAAAGTCTGGCTGTCTGAATGCATGGCGATCCTTTCTGGTATCCACCCAGTCAGGGCATGGAGATCAATGTTCTGCAACATAAACACAGTCAGCACTGTCACTGTGGTTTTCAAGCTCTTAAATAAGTCCCCAGGGTAAGCTGTTAAATCTCACTGATCTGACAGGATTCCGATAGGAATAAATCAGAAGGTAGTAAGTTGTTCTATCAGTATGAAGCTCTTGCATGTGTGAGCTCAGTCCTCTGCGACCCTGTGGACTATAGCCCACCAGGTTCCTCAGTCCACGGGATTATCCAGGCAAAAATACTGGAGTGGGTTGCTATTTCCTTCTCCAGGGATAATAAATCTTTTATTACTGGGTGGGCTGCATTTTCCTTCTCCAGAAAAACAAACCTCTTACTTAACTCAAATTCCCATCTGGATTTAAGCACAAGCCTGTCTTTTCCTTACAATCTCTGCTGCTTTTCCAGAATACATTTACTGATAAATATGATGAAAACTCAAAATATTTAATAGAAAAAACTGCTTTGATGATGATGATGATGACAGTTGCATTTATGCTCATTCCCTCTCTAAGCTGACTCGGTAAATCAACAGGCAATGGATTAGGAAGCTAAACTAAAAATATTTGAAGGACAGAGCAATTGAACACGGAGGTTGGGAAGAAATTTTAACATCCTTCTACCTTTAACTATGACCTATACACTCTTTGACTAGCATTATAAGAACCAGCAGGATGGAGGAGGCCAGGTACTAGGTGAGGATACTAACCAGGTATAAGAAATACGTGATTTGCATATATTACCTCATTTAATCTTTACAGTTCTTGAGAGGTGGGTATTATCCTCATATTACAGACAAACAAAGAACCTAAGAAAGGTAAATACCTTTTCTAAGGCTACAGGCTGATTAGTGTTATAATTTAAAGTCATGCTAGTCTGAATAATTTCTGGCATAGGGCTATAGGTGACAACTCAAGGACACTGGCAGATACCTTGATTTTACAAATAAAGTTGTGTTAAGGTTGGGAAAAACTAACCCCAAACTCCTTGAGCCTGAATTTATAAATAAAAAATAATATACAAGGATGACAATATGACTCATCCCTTTGATTTGCAGAGGCTTCTTTGGAAAGGGACACTACATTTATTCGGCCCTGTATCCCACCAGAACAGTAGACACATACACTACAGGCTTTCCTGAATACTAAATCTATACAATGTGCAAATAATCTTACAAAATAAAACATGCACTCCCATAATAAGTGATTGATCAATATTTTTCAGGGGCTGATAATGTTTTCATTTTAGCCAAATACATAATCTATAATCTTTCAAACCCAGAATAATCATATTAGATAGCATAAGCCTGTGTCTGGATCATCTTATTACTTACTGAATTGGATCCTGGGAAATCATATCCTCCCATGACTTTCATGTAAGCTTTTTCTATGAGAGAAACCCATAATTCACTTTTGTTGTTAGAATAAGAACAGAGCAATTCTCCCTTGTGATCAACAGGTAACTGGTCATCAATTATCACCTGGAGAAAGAGAACATTAATTTCCTTAGGTGGTACGAAATATTTTAAAATCTTTTCTATCAAAAAACTTCCACACCTCTTATACTGATAAAATACATAATAAAAGGTATGCTATGTCAATTACTAAGATAATGGTAGTTTCATATTTCTGGAAACTGATCAATTATAAAATGTTTTGTGATGCCTTTCTTAAGGTTTACAATTTAATCTCCCTCTCAGGTATTAACTTTGAGCCAACGGTTGGAAAATGTTATGGATCTACCAACAAAGTTATTACGGATTCTAGAAATGTACTTTATATCTAAAATAATTACAAAAGGGCCTCTCACTATGAACGTAAATAACAACAGTACCCTAAATCTGCAAAAAGATTCATGCTGTACTTAGTAGTAAAATCTTATGATCAAAAAAATACATTTAAATAATATGGAAGCATAGAAGTAATCACCACAAACATGCAGCCTCTAATTCACATTATAGAGTGATTTGGGAAACAAGGATAAAAAGAATTTTGATCTATTAATAGAGAAACTATGCAACTGCATTTTGAAAGATTCTTTAAACCAGAGATTATTTACAAATTATAGTTCAGAAAGACCATTCTCAACAATTTTGTTTAGATGGGGAAATTGTTTAGTTCTTAAGAAGTCAGCTAGAGCAGTCATTCTGAAAGGTTGTTCTCAGACAACATCACCACCACTATCACCTAGAAACCTGTTAGACATGCAAATTCCGGCCCTTCTGCAGACCTACTGAATCAGATGCTTTGGGGGTGGAGCCCAGGAATCTTTTTTAACAAGCACTCCAAATGATTCTGTGCACGCTAAAGTTTGATTCTTATTCAACTAGAGAGTAACTTCTAAGCTTCCCACACTAGAGTCAGTATGGAATCTTGTTTAAGTGCGCATTTTGATTCAGCAGGCCCAGGATGAGGCCCAAGTTCAGAAATTCTAACAAATTCCTGTATGCGTGAAGGCTAAGTCGCTTCAGTCGTGCCCGACTCTTTGCAACGCTCTGGACGGTAGCTCCCTGGGCTCCTCTGTCCAGGGACTCTCCAGGCAAAAACACTGGAGTGGGTCGCCATGCCCTCCTCCACGGATCTTCCCGACCCAGGGAATCAAACCCATGTCTCCTGTGTCTCCTACATTGGCAGGAGAGTTCTTTACCACGAGCACTACCTGGGAAGCCCAACAAATTCCCAAGTGATACGAATGTTGATCCCCAGACTTAATGAGTAGACAGGAGCTAGAGAACCCTAACAAAACAAGGCCCTTACAACATGGTTCGGAATCCTTAAAGAAAGATTTGCAATTTAAAACTATGTATCTATTTCACAAAGGAAAACAGTATTAAAGGTGTCTTACATCTTGATTTACACACATAAATTGTTATAATGGACTTAGTGTGTCTGATGTCTTTTTAATCAAAAAGGTAACTAATGACCACCAGATTAAAATTCATTTTAAGCATAAGCAATCATTAGCTCAATGCTACTTCTTGGAGCTTTCTATAAATTTTCCCAAACTCATTTTTTAAAAGACTTTATGCTTGTTATGAGTTTTTATTTTTAATTATTATTGATGATGGTATTGGTAGTAACATGTATAATATCAGAGAGCCAAACTCAACTAAGCTGACTTTCTAAATGTTTACATAAATAACACTGCTTAATGCCTCTACTCAAGACTCAAAGGCAGGGAAGAGAGAGGGGCTGATATGGAGAGAAATGTTATTCACCTTTCTGGGGACACCATTGAGGTGAAGTTTTACCATGTACTTTCCACAAGGATTGTACTCTGGCTCACCATCCTTATTCTGAGGGTAAATTATGCTTTAGTAAAGGAAAGAAATGGTGAAATACCAACATTAGTATTCAATACAAACTACTATGCAGAATATTAATTTTATTTAGACATACGCTATTATCTTAGTAATTTTACAAAAATAAATGTAAGAATATTTGTCTATAATAGACCTGTAATAGAAAAAGAATTTTACCTCAAAGTTTTTATTTAATATAAGTAAATGAAGACAGTATCTTAGGAGATCATACAGTAGGGCATACATTTCATAATATTCTGAAAAATGCTCATTTTTAATTATATCCTCTAAAAAATTTTCTAGTACGTGGATATATTTTAAACTAGTTAAAATAATCTACTATTGGCTCTAAAACATAAAGAGACCATTTCAGTTAACCACAACTAAGGAAACTATAACTCTGACAGAGATAAAGTTAGCAGAGCGCTGATAAAGTACACAAAATTATTTAGTGAGATACTTGTAGAAACTATCAGTATCAGTTTTCTTTCTCAAACTGCGTACTATTCATTTACATGCTCTGTTTATCCAAGATGGCAAATGACTGAAACTAAGGTCTGTATCTATTTACCTTTCTTCTTTCAGGACTTAATATAACAAAAACAAGTCAGGAAAAGCTGTACAAAAAAATTATAATGCTTAATTTTTATAATGAATAACTTTAAGCTAATAAAACTTCCAAAAATTGAAAGAAAAAGTATTTCATGGTAACATTTCAGTACACTGTTCTAGCCAACAAAAATGTTATATATGTTGTACTATATTACAGACCCACATAATGCTGTATTATATAATGTTTTATATTAATGTCTTATTTAACCCATTAAAAACATTATTTCAGTAAATGATATAAAAATTTGAGATATTTTCCAATAGATATTTTTTTGTGTGTTAAGTTTTCAAAATCTGATCCATTTTACACTTATAGCCTATCCAAATTCAGACTAGCTCATTTCAAGTATGTAATATCCACATGAGACTTGTGGCTACTATATAGTATAGTCAAATTATAAATATGATTTTAATTTGACCAATCTCATTTATTTCATTTATATTATTCTAACTATATGTGCGTATGTTCTTAGACTGTCTTAGCAAATCCTTCCACATTCACAAACCATCTACTTAACACACAAAGGCCATAACATTCTAAGTAATATGTGCAGACAAACCCTAAGCTTCTAATTTCCAATTAAGAGACAATTCCATGAAAAGGGCTAAAGGGACAAATATAAAATCCTACCTGGTAATCAACTTCTTATTAAATCGTCTTTCATAAGCTGCACTGATAGCCAGTGATGCCACAAAAGAACAATCTGATACTATTGTCTGTTAATAAGAATTATTAATACATTCATTTACTCATGCAATTTCAACATTACCACAATATTTAAGCATTGCATCCAGAGTCTAACTTTTTATACTAAATATCTTGACTGCTGCTTGAACAGGAAAACAATAAAATAGAAATGCCATAGTGCCAACTAACACATATTTTGTTCACACAAATCCCCGGAAAAACAAGCATTTCAATTAAGTTACTTTAAAATAATTAAATATGCATGATCCATTCTTACATGAATAAAAGCATATTTAATTGAATTACACTTTTTAATGACAAAAAAATTATAGGCATTTTAAAAACGTTGGTTAACTACAATGACAAATTAAAATCAATACGCACATCAAAAAATTTGAATCATGGTATTTCAGGAGCATTATTTTCATACTAATGTGAAAAAATCTATGACTTCAGGGCTAATGCGTCATTAATAAAATCTACAATCAAGTCACAGAGTTGTTCTACCGCCAAAGTGTTTTAAATAAGCCCAATACCTTTCTGTCTTTTCTATTTATTCTCTCATCAAACATAAAATTCAGATTCTTAGTTATTCTCATCTGCAAGCATATATCAATAGGGTGCACAAAAATCTATAACTGTTCAAGAGTTATTATATCTCAGTATGTCGAAGTCAAATGCGAGATGAATAATTTTTCCAATCGTACTAATGCATCTGAATAAATAGAAACCTAAGAAAAAGGCAAATGTATATTCAAATTACTTTAAGATGTTAGTTTTTCATATAAAATTATACAAAATAAATGTTTACCTGCTTTATGCTGAAACTAGACACAGTATAAATCATTGTAGGATTGTTGGTGAGGTCTTCTGGTCGTACCCATTTAGAAAATGTAGCTTTTTGTTTAGGTGATAACGGTAACTTGCCACATCTATCACTGAGGTGATAATAAAAATTAAATAATAAAATTAACCTTAAAAAATAACTTAAAAACAAGAATAAATTTCCCAGAGAATTTTTTTTTGGTATAGTGATCACAGCTATACAATGAATTCTAAAAAAACTCTCTGGTCAAATTTGGTTCTTTACACTTGACCTTGAGTTCAATCTGATCATCCAACCCAATTGAAAAAAAAAGTACACAGATAACTGACAACAGAAGAGAAACTAAACTCTTTTATATTTATACTTCAAGAGTTAAATTGAGCATGGTTATATTCAAGAAATTCAGTTTCAATAAAATGGAGCCATTTGATTCAGTCAAAAGAAGCACGGAAGCTATAGATCTTTATGTTGGCTCTTGACAAACACATCTCTGTAGGACTAATAAAGAGAATACCTAGTTACTGAGTAATACACAGGTGGCAACAGTGGTAAAGAATCTGCCTGCCGACGTAGGAGACGCAAGAGATGCGGGTTTGATACCTGGGTCAAGAATATCCCCTGGAATAGGAAATGGCAATCGACTCCAGTATTCTTGCCTGGGGCATTTCATGGACAGAGGGGCCTGGCAGGCTACAATCCATGGCATCACAAAGAGTCAGACACGAATGAGCACGTACCCACACACGAAACATGTGCTAGGCATCACACAAAATATTTTACGTATCTTACTCATTTAACCTTCAAAACGATTCTATTAGAGCAAATTTTTTAGAAAAAGTTTTAAGTGATCAAATAAGCTGTGACACTATTAGGCTAAGACACAGAAGAAAGGGTATCTGATTCCTGGTCTTTGGTGCCAAATCCAGCATCTTATCCGTTACTCTCTACTCAAAATGTGTAGGGAATATATGTGAAGTATTTCTCTATAATTAATGTACAGCACAAAATTCTGCCATTCTTCAAAGTGCTTCTAGAGCAAGGGCAACAAATCTTTGGTTCTGAAAGATTTATAGGCTAATATAAGGTGAATGATTTGCAACCTGAAAAAAATGTTTTTTTAAAAAACAGAATGTTGACAGACATTAGGAGAAAGAGGGTTTTGCGGTGATGTGTGATCTGAAAACTCCTGGTTGAAGTATTTTTTCTTTTTCTCCATTGGAAGGACACCGCTAAACCTTTAATAAGCCAGTATTTACTGGAAATCTCTTGGAGCATAATATAGTATACAACACTTCTCAAACTTTTTTGATGATTACCTCATACATCTCATAGAACCACTAGCATTCTAGGCAGCATTTTGTACCTGTGTAGTAACAGGACTTGACTGGAAACATACAGTGAGCTGAATGAATTTAGAAGAATTTAAGAACTACCAACACAAAAGTTTGAGGAGAAAAAATAAGGCTGACTCAAATCTATAATCACATTACTCAATATTATTAATCCATCATATGAACCATAATTCAGTAAATCCAAGACTCCTTAGTACTTGTTCTCTCAAAAGTCACCACTGAATTACCAAATTTAAGGTTCATTTCTTAGAACTTTGAAATATTTAAAATACTTTATAATTTATAATACATGACCAGAAAAGAAAAAAAATTCGTCACCCAATCTTCCTAAAAAAGATTAGATAAAGCTCAACATTCAGAAAACTAAGATCATGGCATCTGGTCCCATCACTTCATGGGAAATAGATGGGGAAACAGTGGAAACAGTGGCTGACTTTATTTTTTTGGGCTCCAAAATCACTGCAGATGGTGAGTGTAGCCATGAAATTAAAAGATGCTTACTCCTTGGAAGGAAAGTTATGACCAACCTAGATAGCATATTAAAAAGCAGAGACATTACTTTGCCAACAAAAGTCCGTCTGGTCAAGGCTATGGTTTTTCCAGTGGTCATGTATGAATGTGAGAGTTGGACTGTAAAGAAGGCTGAGCACCGAAGAATTGATGCTTTTGAACTGTGGTGTTGGAGAAGACTCTTGAGAGTCCCTTGGACTGCAAGGAGATCCAACCAGTCCATCCTAAAGGAGATCAGTCCTGGGTGTTCATTGGAAGGACTGATGCTGAAGCTGAAACTCCAATACTTTGGCCACCTCATGTGAAGAGTTGACTCATTGGACAAGACCCTGATGTTGGGAGGGACTGGGGGCAGGAGGAGAAGGGGATGACAGAGGATGAGATGGCTGGATGGCATCACTGACTCGATGGACATGGGTTTGGGTGGACTCCGGGAGTTGGTGATGGGCAGAGAGGCCTGGCGTGCTGCGGTCCATGGGGTCACAGAGAGTCGGACACGCCTGAGTGACTGAGCTGAACTGGACTGAGTCTTTCTAACCAAACATTCATACACTGGGGAGCTTTTTGCCATCAGTCTGCTATCTTTGAATTTTAAAATGTTTACTGTCACTATTTCTTCTGATTATTCTCACTGTAAAATAACCCAGAAAACAAGAAAGGAAAAATCTTGCCAGTTACAGCATTCAATTTTACTTGATTTTTCTTAAAATTTAACTGACTTGGTAAGTAGTCACTGAACACCGTATGCAGGACCGTGTAGGCATGCACTCTCTGTCCTCACGGCGCTCAGCGTCCCACGTGCAGGACAAGTAGAGAGCATGGGGTCACACACAACATGAAATCCCAGCTCTGCCAAGGGCATGGTAATTAGAGGAGTTACATTTTAACAACTGTGGTAAGACAGTTATATTTGTGTTTGGATAGTTATGAGACAGTTATATTTTTAATTACAGTGTAAGCATTTTCCCGTGTTACTTAATTTTTTGAAAACTTGATTGTTCATGAGTGTATAAAATTCTTTCTAGGGACATTCTGTTGTATAAGCACTAAAAATATGATTTATCTTCATCTGTTACACAAAGATTAGAACTACAAGTTTATATCTCTACTTGGATATTGCCATTTAAGAGCATCCTAGAATAACTGATCTACATGTTCATAAGTATAATAATATTGTTAACTATCTTTTATATAAATCTTTGACTAGATCTGTAAATACTTTTTAAAATTGGTTTCTTGAAGTAAAATCACAGGTCAAACATTTTTAAAGTATTTGAAATGTACAGCTAAATTATATAATTTAGTATTCTGCAAGATAGTTATTTCCTAACAGTTAATTCTTATTACAAAGTGCTTTCTATAGAACAAGCACCACTATAAGTGCTTTACATTTCATTAACTCACTTCATAAATCATCACAGTAACACCAGAAGGTGGATTCTGTTATTACTTTAAAGTTTGAAGCAGTTTAGAAAGCTTGCATGGTGTCACACAGGATACGACACTGGACAGCATGGGTCTGGAATCTGTGCCCTTAATGTTAGTGCTATAAGCGTCTTCAGTTCAGTTCAGTTCAGTCGCTCAGTCACATCCGACTCTCTGTGACCCCATGAATCGCAGCACACCAGGCCTCCCTGTTCATCACCAACTCCAGGAGTCCACCCAAACCCATGTCCATCGAGTCGGTGATGCCACCCAACCATCTCCTCCCCTGTCATCTCCTTCTCCTCCTGCCAATCCCTCCCAGTATCAGGGTCTTTTCCAACGAAGTCAACTCTTCACATGAGGTGGCCAAAGTATTGGAGTTTCAGCTTCATCATCAGTCCTTCCAATGAACACCTAGGACTGATCTCCTTTAGGATGGAGTGGTTGGATCTCCTTGCAGTCCAAGGAACTCTCAAGAGTCTTCAACACCACAGTTCAAAAGTATCAATTCTTTGGTACTCAGCTTTCTTTATAGTCCAACTCTCACAGCCATACATGACCACTGGAAAAACCATAGCCTTGACCAGACGGACCTTTGTTGGCAAAGTAATGTCTTTGCTTTCTAATATGCTGTCTAGGTTGGTCATAACTTTCCTTCCAAGGAGTGTCTTTTAATTTGATGGCTGCAATCACCATCTGCAGTGATTCTGGAGCCCCCAAAAATAAAGTCAGCCACTGTTTCCACTGTTTCCCCATCTATTTGCCATGAAGTGATGGGACCAGATGCCATGATCTTAGTTTTCTGAATGTTGAGCTATAAGCCAACTTTTTCACTCTCCTCTTTCACTTTCATCAAGAGGCTTTTTAGTTTCTCTTCACTTTCTGCCATAGGGTGGTGTCATCTGCATATGAGCATTTCCTAGATCCAGATTAACCACTAGCATCACATAGGTGCCTGAGTGAAAACCTTATGCTGATAACTTACTGGCCTTGAGGTGTCTACCTTCTGCCCATCCAAGAACAACAAACACTAGAAGTGTGAGAGCAGGTCTTCTGTTTTTATAGTCTTTATGTATTCTGTACACAATAAGCATTTAATTCCCTGATGCTTTCTTATAATAAATATGCTGATGGCAGAAATTTTAAATAATAAAAATGTTTTAAAAAGTAAACCACCTAATTTTGCTACTTAGAGATAACCATTGTAAACATTTTGATGTATCACTTTACATCATTTCATTCTTTATATGTATAAATACATGAAAAAAATAAAATTTGGATATCATGTATTTATAATTTTTTATCTTTAAAAATTTTTATATATTACAAACATTTCCCCTATATTTTTCAAAGAGTTATTTTTTTATGGCTAGCATAGTATGTAACAGAATAATATGAACATGCCATTATTCAATCACTCCAATATTACTAGATACCAAGTTTGTTTCAATAATTTTTTGCTGTTACAAACACTCTGATAAGTGCTCTTATGATAGACATCTTTGGCCCAATTTTAATTTCCTTAGGATGACTAGAACCTGGGAGTCCTGAAACAATGATTTTAGGGTTCTTGACATAAGCTGCCACTGTCCTGAAAGGCTATGCTAACACTTTCATAATGAACCCTGTTTCTGAACTGGATCTTCTTAGTAAACAACAATCCTGTCATTCTTCTCCACCTTTCCATTCACTGCCTTGGCTGACTTGCATTTCTGTGTGATGCAACCCAAACTGGACAAATATTTATTCACTGCTTACTTCTCTTGTACTAGGTACTGTGCTAGACACTATGAGCATAACCGGAGACTGAAGAAGACCCACAAGTCCTGTCCCCAGGAAAAGGTCAGAGGCACTCTTGCCACGTTGTCCCACCTCCTTCCCCGAGCTTCGTCGCTTTTCCAATCAGAATTTTTATTACAAATTTTAATTTCAAGGCTATGGCTTTAATTAGACTTCAGCAGATGGGAAAATTACTGAAAATTATGAAATTAATTTTGAAAAGTAAGAATTGCAACAGTGCTTACTTACCAGAAAGGCATTGGATAAGCAAAACGTTCCCTCAGATCAATGCTCATGAAAGGAACATATTCAATACCATTTATTTTTGATGTTGTCCTATAAAAAATAAGAAAAAAATCCAAAGTAAATGTTCAAGTCAACCTTAATCACCAATTTTATTTAAACTCCTTAAAATTTAAATGACAAGGTATGCTATAGTAATAAAATTAAACTGATAATCTCATGTAATGTTGATAACTTTATTTCAACAAAATTTTCATGAAATAGTTGAATACCAAAAAAAATTAATCCAATTTAATCCCAAAGTTATTCTTTTGAGACTACCATCCTTTACAACAAAACAACTGTCTCAAAATAGGCTTACACCAGAGGCAATGAAATTGTCCCCAGGACACAAAGCGAATTTTATCCTCAGCCTAAAGAAAGAAAGCAATTGCTTAGTTGCTTAGTTATTTGAGGATTCAAAGGATTCTTGGAAATAAATTCTTTATATTTTCTGGTTATGAGACTAAGGAATGGGTAGTGACGAAGAAAGAGACACAGATAACAGTTAGGGCCTCTTGACAAATTTAAGAAATGTGCTTTTAGTAGCTTTGTATATTCTTTTCCTATTTTGTGTCACACGTTTATTTGTACATATTAGCTATTTCTTTCTGTTCCTTCCTTGTGTTTTATTTAGGAGGAGTGGCAGAGTAACTTCATAATTTAGCCTCCAGGTAACAATATATAGTGAGACTATGAATTTGAGGGCTAATTAACACATGAATATAACATTTGTGTGTATCCCCATCTGGAGATGGTGAGAGCTTTTGACTTGTGTGAAGGGCAGCTACGTCCTGTTAGTAGAAACTCAGAGCTGTTGGGCAGTAGTGTGAAATTTCAAACGTATGTAGAAGGGAACAAGTGGACACCGAGTAGCCAAAGTGCTGGACAGTTATTAACTTGTGTCTCAGGTCCAAAACCACTCTTTTTCTCCTGCTTTGTGTTGTGTGGTTTCATAAGCATTTTTTTCTAGGCAGGCAGCGCCATTTCTTCTAGAAGCAGAATTAAAATCTTCAGCAGGAAGAAAGAAACGCCCTCAGGCGGCTGCTACAGAGGAAGGAACCATTCCAGCCCAACTGCAGAAAACTAACAGAAAGAGCAACTTTACAGCACACGCCGCTCTAAGCTGGCTGATTTTCAGAGACCAAGTGAGGAGCAGCCGCGCTGGCTCAGGATGCGAGCAAAGAGTCCCACAATCTTGTTCTTTTGCATTTTTAATATCCCCTGAAGCTGCTTCCAGACACTGAGTTGGCTTCCCAGCCCAGGGGCTGGCAAACTATTTCTGTAAAGGGCCAGACAGTATGTAGTTTTGGCTTTGCAATGAGGTCTCTGTCACACATCCTGGCTCTTTCTGCTTTCTTTTTTGCAACCCTTTTAAGAAATATACAGAGGCATTCAAAGCTTAAGGCTGCCCTTCGCTGACTGGCCTAGACCGCTGTTTCAAGGTAGCAATTAGGGCTCTGGTCAGAAGGCCGCAGAGGTGACGGAAGGGCCGCCGTCGTTCCACTCTGCCCCACAGAATCATTCAACTTTGAAGAGTGTTAAGATTTTCAGAAAAAAACATCTAGAGGAAATGCGAATACTAAAATACATCAGAACAGATTTCAAATATTTCAAGTTGTGACTGTGGGACAATTTACAGTTACATGATAATAGCAATAGCATGGCACATTACAACAAAGATGTATGACTCAGCAAACCTAATGAGCGTAACCTTACCTGCACTGATGTTAACAAAACTGTTCCTCACAACAAAGCATAAAGCGACTTGCCTGAGAACTTCTATTTCTTCTGCTGTGTATCTCTGCCCCTGTGCGTCACATGACTGCGGACTTATAAACGGCTGAGGTCTCTCAAGGAAGGGATTAGTTCCTAGTGGAAAGTGTGCCCTCGTTGGAGGTGGCTTTGGCTTCATATTTGTTGCCTTGATTTTGCATGACGGCTTCGTTAAAGGCTCGCTCAACGCTTCTGCTCTATAATATAGGTACAAAAACACCATTCTAGTTTCTCTCCTCACATTTAAGCTTTTCAGCACACAGTACTTACTTTGAGAACAGTCAAGCATCCCTAAGGTAAAATTACTATCTAAAATTCTTACATTCTAGTCAATAGTTCACTACGTAAGCTACTCCCAGAGGTAAGATATTTTTGCAAACATTTTACTGAAACAGTAATTTAGCACTTACAGCATTATCAGATCCTACGAAAGGCAAGGGGCCTATATGAATGTAGAGAACACAATCCCTACTCTCACGGTACCCCTAGGTTTGCAGGGAAAGATAGTTGCATCAAAAGTGGGACATGAGGCTGGACGCGTTCCACGCAGGTGAATGCACAGCACAAGTTACTGACTTAATGCAGGGAAGAGGGTAAGTCAGGGAGCGTTTTTCCAAACTGACACTTGAGCTGCACTTGGCGTTGAGCTCTGAGTCGAGCTGGGGAGCTAGGAAGGGTTCTAAGTAGAGAGAAGAGCGTTAGCAAATGCGCAGATCTGTGAAACAGTGGAGTGAGTTACTGTGATTTCAAAAGAATGTAGGGAGCCCCCGTGAACAGGGCAGAAGCGAGGCAGCAGGAGATGAGGCCAGGGGCAGGATCACGGAAGACCTTCTTTGGTGTGAAGAGCTTTTGGACTTTGCCCTGTCACAGAACTGACAAGCTAAGAAACAGAAGTTTTTAATCTGAGGTCCTTATATGCGTGTTAGCAGCCCTGTTAACACTCTGAAATGGCATGCAGATCAAGTGTCATGCTATCTTCTCCCTAGAGTGTATCCATTCTTCTGAACTAGTCCTCACAGGAAGCGTTCGTGACTGGACATGGCCCTGTGCTGAGGGAGCACCCAGAGAATACGGGATGAACCACCCACAGAGGTAGCAGGGGCCATCCGTGATTCTGACTGGTGACAGACATCAAAAGGGAGAAGCTAACGATATGTCAAGTGCCCGCAGCTTCACGAATTTGGAGAAACAAACGATGCTAGATGATAGTAATGAAAAGGAGGGGTGACCCCTATATCTCAATGCAAAAAGCTCCCTAGTCTGAGCCTCAGAAGGAGGTACTGTACTAATTCATGCTGTAACTATAAATGCCACTCCACTCTTTTCCTTTGTCTATAATGCTTTGTACAAGAGGTACAATTCTCTGTGCAAACACACTCGCTATCTCAACAAACGCCTGCTGAGCACATACTGGATGTCTGGCAGTCTGCTAGGTGCCTGGTCACAGCAATGAACAAGAACAAAATTCTCTGCCCTCACAGAGCTTCTATTTGGAGGATGGGTTAGAAAAGACACACACATTGATAACAAATATGATAAACTGATCAATTTTATATACCTTAGAAAATAGTAGAGTTATGGGAAAGAATATTACAACAGAGAAACAGGATGGAAGTACCAGAGGAGATTTCAATTTTACACAAAAAGCTGATCATAGGCCTTATTGAAAAGTTGGCATTCGAGCAGAGTTAAGGGAGCCTCACGCACGTATGATGTGGGGTATATGAATGGCTGGCTCATTCTCAACGTCTCCATTTCTAGTAGTGGCTTTGGAGGGCTCTCCGCAAGCTTTCTCTTTGGAAGTTTCATACTACACAACACAAGTGAAGTCTTCCATTTTAAATACCATAACCATCTTTGTATTAGACACAACAAAAACTAAGTGAAACGTTTCTTGACTGATTTGTTACTTTTTGAGTTTAAGGCAGGGATGAGGACACAGAGATGAATTAGCTCTCTGTTCCCCTAAGGAGTTTGCCATCTAATAAGTCAAAATGACAGGGAAAAAAGCAGCAGGGGACTTGGGAGGAGCAAATTCACTCAGAGAAAGAAGGCAGACTTGCTCTGGATGTCAGGTTTGTTACCACGAGCTCCACCACACATTCGGATAAACACATCACACTGAAGTTACACCGTACGCTGTGGGGACCGAAGCTGAGGAGCCAAACTCACCTGTCTAGTGCCTGCCGAGCCAGCTGCTTCAGCTTATTTTGCAGAGTTTTATCAGCAGTTTCATAAGACTTAAGAAAAAGAGAGACAGACATTCTAAAGCATTAAGTATTAATCTGCTTGATCCATGATATTTCTAAGCAAGAAAAAAAAACTTACAATGCACATTACACTTATAAAAATTATGAGAATAAGAGGGAGGTGGGAGGGGGGATCGGGATGGGGAATACATGTAAATCCATGGCTAATTCATGTCAATGTATGACAAAAACCACTATAATATTGTAAAGTAATTAGCATCCAACTAATAAAAATAAATGGAAAAAAAAATAAAAATTATGAGAATAAACCAGCACACTTTATTTTTATCCTTAAAGGTATCACTTAAAATTGTGTTGAAACTCATCACTGAGGTAAATCCCAAGAGCACTTAATGTGGACAGGTGGTAAGTGGGACACGACTGAAAAATCACAGTGCTGCAGAAGGCTGGGCAGCAGGAGCCCCAGCCGAGCAGGGTCACTGTACTAAGGGAAAGAGCCAGGAGAAGACCTTAGGACTCCACTTACACGTGGAGTCCAAAAGCAAAACAAATAAACAAAATAAACCAAATGCACAGACACAGAGAAGAGATTAGTGGATTCCAGAGGGGAAGGGGAAGGAGGCTGGGGACGGGCAAAATAGGTGAAGGGGGTCAACTGCGTGGGATAGAAGGTAACCAGACTTGCAGTGGTTATCACTCTGCTGTGTGCGCAGATGTCGAATTATAATGCGGCACTGTACATAATTAAAACCGAAAACCCCCAGCACTTACCAGCAGTCTCAGGTACCTACAGAAATGAGGCTAGACGGTTCTTCTGGATAAGAGACCTGGGACAAAGAGCCGGCCCTCGGAACAGTTCTGGCAACCCCACTCTCTACTACCTCACACTCTCCTATCACTGCACTGCTTGCTCTTACGCACTAGATGACCCTTGGAGCTGACTGCTTCTCCTCGGGAAGCAGTAAAAACCAGTCACCATACAGACTCCACACTGTAAATTAACAAAACCGCTAATGATTTCTTAGTGTATGAAACTGTATAAAAGGGGAAAGAGCTTTATTTTTTTTATGACGCACCAAATTTTTCCCCTTTTTTAAAAAAGTTGTAGTTGATTTACAATAGTTTCAGGTGCAGAATAGACTGATTCAGTTATATATATACGTATATTCATTCTTTTTCAAATGCTTTTCCATTATAGATTATTGTAAGATATGGAGTCTACTTCCCTGTGTTACATAGTAGGGTCTCTGTTGTTTATCTATCTCATATACAGTAGTGTGTATATGTTAATCCCAAACTCCTAATTCATCCCACTCACAGGAACTTTATTTTAAATTCACAGATTGTGATGAATTCTTCCTTAATGTTAATTTTAGTTATAGGAGTATAAGATGGTCAAAAATGCTACCTGTAATTTAAAAAACAATTGCCAAGTGATTCAATTAACACTGTCAAATTTTTAACAAGGTGTTTAAAAATCCATTATTAATTCTGCTCTTCATTAGTTTTTTTTAAAACTTATTTTTGTATTGGGGTATAGTCAATTAACAATGTTGTGATAGTTTCAGGTGAAAGTCATGGGACTCAGCCACATAGATACATATCCCATTATCCTTTAATGAGGAGTATCTTAAGTTACATGTATAATAACAGTATTTTTTTTTAACGAATTGTTACATAAAATTCACTAGTACGGGGAGAAATTTCTTAGGACAATTCCACCAAACTTAACTTGTAAGTATTATTATACATACGGTTTTCAGACAGAGATCTACAGCTTCTGTATACAGTTCTATAGCATCTTCAACATTCCCTTTTTCATCTTCGTCAAAAGCTTGTGTCACGAGGAAATGGGCACGCTCTAAGTCCAACTGATGCTTTGATTTCAAAGGATCCGCACTCTTTGACTGAACTAGGATGAGAAAAAAGCCACATACCTATATATACATCCAGGGAATAACCTGTCATTTTAATACACTCTTTAGCAAAATTCTGTAATCCTTCATGTAAAAAACTTAGCAAGGTAAAAAAAGAAATCTTTAAATTTTCCCTGAACTCCTCTCTGTCCCTACTAACACTTTTCATCATTTAAAAAAATAAAATGAAAATTAGCATTCTCCCCACAAAAAACAAGACCGAAACTTAGAAAACACTAAATCTAAATAAACTCAATCATGCTCTAAAGTAATTTTTTTAGTACAGACAATAATTATATAATCTACTAGGCCTTGATGATAAAATTGATGCTGTTTCCTATTCATCAGGGTCCAGAATAAGCTATATTTTTATTGCTGTTCGACATAAGTGCTTCTGTTTGTTTTTAATATAAAGATACATATCCATAAGAGACTTTCATCTAGAATATATAAAGATCTCTTACAATTCAACAACAAAAAGACAAATCCAATTTAAAATGGGTGTGGTGATTATCTCATCAACTTGTGTCAATTCGACTGGCTTACAGGTTACCCAGTTGTTTAGCTAAGCAAGATTTCTGGGTAGCCTACGAGGATGCTTCTGAATGAAATGAGCATTTTGAATTGGTACTGAAAGCAGACTGCCCTCCCCAATGTGGGTGGGCATCATCTCACTCAGTGTGGGCCTGAACTGAGCAAAAGGTGGGGGGGAGAGCCTGCCCTTACTGCAGGACTACTGGAGCTGACTCACTGGTCTTCCCCGGCCCTTGGACTGCAACTCACACCAGCAGGTCCCCTGCTTCTCAGGTCTTTGGACTTAGACTGAACCACACCACTGGCTTTCCTGGGTCTCCAACTTGCAGAGGGCAGACGGTGGGACATCTTAGCCTCCATAACTGCATGAGCCAATTTCTCATAATAAATCTCCTTATGTACACCCTACCGGTTCTGTTTCTCTGGAGAACCCTGACATATATCATGGGTAAAGAATCTGTACAGTCATTTCTCCAAAGCAGATATTCAAATGGCCAACTGGCACACGAAAAGATCATCATCTGCCATCAGGGAAATGGATATCAAAACCACAATCAGATGCCATTTTATCCCCACAAAGGTGGCTAAAATAAGACAGAAAATAACAAGTGTTGATAAGGATGTGAAGGAAATAGAACATTGCTGATATAACTGTAAAATGGTATAGCCACTGTGGAAAACAGTTTAGCAGATCCTCAAAATTAGACATAAAGCTACCATGCGTGTGCATGCATGCTCAGTCACTTCAGACATGTACAACTCTTTGTGACCTTATGGACTGTAAGCTGCCAGGCTCCTCTGTCCATGGGATTCTCCAGGCAAGAATACTGCAGTGGGTTGCCATGCCCTCTTCCAGGGGATCTTCCTGACCCAGTGATCAAACCTGGGTCTCCTGCAGCACCGGTGGATTCTTTACCACTGAGCCACTGATATGTGCAAAGCTACCATATGACCTAGCAATTCTACTTTTGAGTAGAATTCTACTTCTGGGTTTCAAGAGAACTGAAAACATATGTCCACACAAAAACAGCATTACTCACAACAGACAAAAGGTGGAAGCAAGCCAATGTCCACCAAGTGATAAATAAATAAAACGTGGTATATTAATACAATGAAATATTATTCACCATAAAAAGAAAGGAGACACTGATACATGCTACCACAAGGATAAATGCGAAAAATATTATGCTAGATGAAAGAAGCCAGACACAAAAGGCCACATACTGGATAACTCCATTTACAACAAATATCTAGAACTGGCAAATCCATGGAAACAGAAAATAGATTAGTAGGATTAAAGATGAGCAGGATTAGTGGCTGCTAGGGCCTAGGGGGAGATAGATGGTTAGACAGCATCACTGACTCAATAAACATGAATTTGAAAACTCCAGGAGATAGTGAAAGACAGGGAAGCCTAGCATGCTGCAGTCCACAGGGTTGCAGAGTTGGACATGAGTGACAAATTGAGCATCGACACCAAGGGGATGGAAGGAATGGGGCGTGACTACTAATGGCTAAGAGATTTCTTTTAGGGTGAGGAAAATGTTCTGCAGTGAGATAGTGGTGATGGTTGTACAACTCTGGGAATACACTAAAAACCACCGAACTACACTATAAAAAGTTGAATTTTATGGTGTGTGAATTATATCTCAATAAATGTTTTTTTAAAAAGCTTTACATTTTGTCTCAAAATTGTGCTTGATCTTTTTAAAAAAACTATAACCCTCAGTAACACCTCTCTGAACCATGTGTGGCGCTTTCTGTTTTGCTGACAAGTTTTCATTCTTCAAGAGATTAGGGCTGTCTCATTCTGTGCCTGAGGATCATATAAACATCCATTTATAAATTTAAAACCTTCACTTACTTAGCAAGGAAAATGAAGTGTCTCTGAATTCCATGGTATTTTGAATATATGGATCAGTATAAACTTGTACCAAGTGAGAGCTTGACACATAAGCAGTTTACTTTTCAGTGTATGCAGTTTCTGGGCACTGTCTTAAAAGGAAATACTGTATCTGTAAGGGGACTGTCATAACGAGAAACCCAACAATTAAATCTACTTTATCTTAACTATAAGCTGGTTGGTAACTGCTCCTATCTATTCACAGTAAGTGGTGGAAAGTAGCACAAAGTCTGTCAGAGAAGGCTGAATAAGACCTCTATAAGTTTGCAGCTTTATTAGATAGCCACAAGGGGAAAAAAAGGTCAAAAAAGAGTCCTCAATGACATTAATACATTCTCGAAACAAAATATCAACGGATGATCATTTTCTTTCCTATCATGTAAACAACAGATTTTGCCAAGAACCCACCTACTTCTAACAGAACTATGAATGTAAAGCCTGGGAACTTGTGCCACAGCATTTGCCATGCTGTTTACAAAATTAAACATAGGTTGTCCCAGGTCTCTGCTTACATGTCACTTTCCCAAGATAGCGCTGGCAAACTCTCTAAAATAAGAGTTTAACTGAGGTCTTGAGATTGAGGCTACTGATGTGGTAAAGACTGTGAACCTGCTGCTGAAGTCTTTAGACACTGAAGGGAAAAGAGTCATTTAATTTTAATAGCAGGAGAGGGCATGTGACAGATATTTAAAGGCAGATTTTAACAGGATCTTAATCCCGATTCTGCCAATGATACACTGTTTGAATGTAGATAATTCATGTCCATTTCTGGGAAATTAGGATATCACCTTACATGACCTCTGAGGTTCCTCTTCACAGATCTATCACTTATTTTCATATTACGATTTTCAAAGATGTGATTACCAAAAGAGGAATGAGCAACAAACAAGTGAAGATCAAAAATCAAAGATGAAAACAAAAAGGAAAGAGAAACATGAGGGAAAAGTAAGATGGGATAGGAAAGAAGAAAAAAAAAAAGTGACATGGTTAGTCTTTACCAACCTGCTGAATGTAAAGCCTGCACTCTTTCCAGATACTCATTTATTTTCTCTTGAATATGTTCTAGGCTTGATCCTGCCATCTCAGCATAAATTAAAGCTTGTGCAGCTTCCTAAAAATAAAAAAAAGAATTCAAAGGAATCTAACAGATAAATTACAATTTGAATTTTCTTTACTGCTTTCTAACTCATGGTCGGTTTCTATGAATGATAAAACAAGAATGTCTTTAAGAAACTAGAAATTTTTTTCACACGGTAAGTGAATAATATAGTCCTTTACTACTTATTTCAGTTCTCGATGCTCTCAATTTTCTCAGACTGTTGAAAATTTACAAAGTCAAATAGAAGGGGTTGATTTTAAACATTTTCTTAGAATAACTGTGATTTATGTTGTTTTCCTTTTTCTCAATGAAGTAGGTCAGATGAAACTACATACTGTGAAAAGGTGATCTGAGTCTTGAAAGCATTAGAACAGACAATACTCATAAATATCAACAAAAGATTATAAAGGTTAATTGTCTCTCTGTGAAAGAAAAGTTTTTTCTCCAAAGAAAACACCGTCAAAGGGGGAGACATTTTAGGGCAGATTTCAGTTGTATGCAAGAAACTTAATTAAGAACACCCGGATTCATTTTCCAGTTATTCCATGACCTCCTCAGCCAGTCAGGACATGCTAGTGAGGAAAAGTCTCCGTTCTCACCATCACCATTCCAGGAGGGTGGTCAGAGCTACCACAGAGACCCCTCAGACACCACCACCTTCCCTGCAGTCATCTAAGCCCTTGCATTTCAAGGAACCTCATGCCTCATTATTCGCATCCAAAGAAGCCATCCCTTTTTGAATCCAGTTACTGGAGGAATCGTTTCTCTGAAACTACAAAATCAATAAGAAGAGTACAGCTTTGATCCAAATGGAAATTGGGGGTAGAAAAGATGTGTTTTCCTCAGATCCTGCAATTCAAATATTTCAAGGGAGGAAAATACAACTGTATATGTAAATATTGCAGCCAATTTTTGTAACTGTTGGTATCAATTTTATTTTGCTCATTTCATTTACACTTGAAAGTGATTAACAAGGAATCCCAAAGAAATCAGCATGAAGGCAGAAAACACTAAATATCTGAAACAGTTTACGTAACAGCTCCTAGAAACACCACCACTTTTCTGATTTTCTCAAGCAAAAGAAATTCTTCATAACAACATGCATGCAATTCTACAGCAAAACAAGAGGTGCTGTACAGTATTTCCTTTCACTTTAGAAAAAGCTATTTCATATGGCACTGTTTACTTATGAACATTTGTCATTATTTCACAAAACTAATAAAACACAGTTTTACTTTTAAAGAAATACCACCATTATGAAATTGCAAAGAAAAGAAAGTTCAAAAAGAATGACTCTGAAACACAACCGAAGTCTCTAAATACAGGTTATATAAAATGAAGGCAATCAAACATTAATCTGAGAACAGTAAATTACACATTATTGCAGCATATAGGTTTATGGAAGAAAAATGACTACTACTGTATTTTCAAAGTCTGACATTCTTCCTAAAAGAAAAGGTGACTGTCTCTAGAGGATACAGCTCCTTCCACCGGAGTGGGGATGGGCCAGGACTGGAGCTGGAGAGGTGTGCGTCTGCAAATCCTCAGAATTGGGGAGCAGGCAGTGAACTGGGAGCGCCTCTAATTCTGGCCTTAGCAATTTATCCAAAAGAAATATCACAGAAACGTGTAAAGCATTAGCTACAAGGATATTATGATGCTGAAGCAACAGAATGCACGTTAAAATGTCCAGGAGAGTTTCTCAACAAACGATGGCACAGCCACACAATGGGATACTATGCATCTAGCCCTTAATATTATTATTGATAACAAGATCATATCAAGAAACTTTTAAAAAATTCGTAATTTTCTTAAAAGTTCAAAAGGACAGGTTTAAAAAAATCATAGACAATCGGACTCCAGTTTGTGTTTTTAAAAGGGATGTGTACACGGACACTGGGGAGATCAAGACGTGTGGAAGTCAAGCACTAGGACGCGCAATGCTTTCTTCTTCACTGACTCGCGGCGCTCTCTCGCGTGCCTCCAGCCCGTCTGCAGCGGTGAGCGCACGTCTGCGGAGCCGAGCGCCCGGCCCCACCGCCGCCCTCAGGCGCGCCGAGCCGGGGGAATCTGCGACCCAGCCCCAGCGGGGATGGCGCCTCAGCCCCGCCCCCCGCCCCGCCCCCCGCCCCCGGCCCCGCCCCCGGCCCACCTTGTAGTAAAACACGGCCTCCGCGTAGCGGCCCTCTTGATCGCGCTGAACCGCCAGCCGCGCGAACTGCACCGCGTCCCGCTCCAGCGCCGCCGAGTCCATGGCCGCCTCGCGCCGGAGCCCTCCTCGCGTCGCCGGCCGCCGCGCGCTCAGGGGCCGCGCGGAAGGCGAGCCAGAGCTCACTTCCGCCGACTGAGGGAGGACGGCCAACAGCCCACCTCAGGCTCCCAGCGCGCCGGCACCCTCGCGCCGCGGCCGCCGCACTCTCAGACCGGCCCACCGGCCACACTGCGCAGGCGCAACCGGGCCCGCGCAGGTATTCTGGGAGCCAAGGCGACTGAGGGAGGCCCCGGCTCGCCGGAGGGCGCGGGCGGCGGGCGGGGCCCGGCTGCGCCGCGCCGTGTGCACGTGACCACCAGGGCTCCGGGGATTGGGCAGGCCCAAGCGGCGGCACGTCGGCGCGGCCGCGGGCTTCGCCGACTGTCTGACGGAAATGTGCGTGTGAGGGCTGTTGCTGGCCAGACTGGGTGCAGGCGCGCATGCGCCTCAGGGAGCCTTGTCCCCGCTTACTCTCCGGGTGAGGTGAGCCGGGCTTCCCGCCCTCGTGTGAGCTGGCTTTTTTAAGTCAGGGAAGTGAAATAAGGACATAGCGCCACATTCCCGGTCTCTTCTGAGCTGACTTTTTAAAATTAGGGACGTGAAGTAAGGACAAAGGGTCCTTATGTGATACTTTTATAAGGTTTCTAACCATGTGAGTCTTAACTTTGTATACCTCCCTGAGTGTATGGTATTGAGTGAATTGTCGACAAGCACAGTAATGCGTTTTCTTGTGTACTTATCCTTAGGTTAACAATGCTGTTGTCTTGACTCAATTAGGTGATTATTTGATTAATTTCTTTCTCTCTGAAAACTCTGACTTCAGCAATACTAATGAAGTAACTTCACATGTGGTGGAGTGGATAAGAATCTGCTTGCCAGTGCAGGGTACACAGGGTGTATTGTTGTAGCCACGCGTTCCAGGAAACAAACTCACCCAGAAGGACAATGCAGATAGTGGAGTGCAGTTTATTACACCGGGGGGCCCAAGGCAAAGTCTCCTCTTAGCCAAGAACCCCGACCGACTTTTGTGAAAACCTTATATACCTTAAGTGTACTGCTGAAGTCCACATCCCCAAATTCCTTAAACCTAGCCTGAAAAGTGTTAAAGGGAGATACAGTCAGGTCACAGCCATGATTCATAATCAGAAGGGTCAGCTGGTTATACATTGTAGCCTACACCAATGGGTACCATAAAGATTACAAAGGTGATTGACTGCATAGGGGATTATTGCATTCTTTTTGGCGACGGGAAATCTTGGTATGGAATCTGGTGTCTATCACTCTGGGAAACCAGTTCAGCTGTAGGTATGTTATGCCTATGGCTACCAGGCACATAGTCCAAAGCTCACTGAAAGTGCAAGATGGAGTTTCTTTCTTTTTCAAGATGGAGTCAGCATGACCTCTTCCTCTCCTCCTTCAATATCACTGGTTGAGAAAGACCCCACATGTTGGGGAGCAACTAAGCTGGTGTGCCACAACTACTGAAACCCGGTTGGCATCTAGAGCCTGTACTCCACAGCAAGAGAAGCCACGCAATGAGAAGCCCTAGCACTGCAACTGAAGAGTAGCCCCTGCTCACTGCAACTACAGAAAATTCTTGCGAAGCAATGACATAGTGCAGCCAAAAAACAAATAAATACATAAACAACAATAACAAAATGAAAGACACCATGATGTGAACAGAACTCAAAATTCACTGTAAGTCAAAGAAGCAAGATGTGGCAGAACAGACTGTTTTATTTTGTTTACAAGGAACACCAGCAAAGACAAATCTTAACCAATAATGTGAGAAGTTGTTAGGGAACAGTTAACCAACACTGCCTGCCCTGACTGGGCACCATAACAACACCTTAAGTCTCCTACGTCAGGATGCTTCAAAGAACATAAAGCCAAAGAAGGGCCCAAAACCAACCTGGGGAAAACCCAGGAAGGGCCAAGAAGGGGAGAAGTGTGTGTTAGTCACTTCAGTTGCATCCAACTCTTTGTGACCCCTTAGACTGTAGCCTGCCAGGCTCCTCTGTCCATGGGATTCTCCAGGCGAGAATACTGGAGTGGTTTGCCATTTCCTCCAAAGAAGGGGAGAAGAGACCAGTCCATAAAATCTCTTGCCAACCTCCCAGACTCTCTCATGCTGAAAATGATTTTGATTGAGGGATGCACATGCCACCAGGAAGGGCCCTGTATTGGACTGAATGAAAGCATGAGCAAGATGACTGGCCAGAGACAATCCCAACTCACCTAACCCCACCCACCATAAAACTTGAGACTGCGAACCACAAGTCAGAGATGTTCTCCTGGTCTCCCTTACCCTGTTGCTCTCCACTCCAGCACCACTTTTCAATAGGGTCTTTTGCTTTGTCAGTACCGTAGCTCCTTGGACAATTCATTTGAGTCTTAGACAAGGGCCCACTCTCAGGCCCTCAGAGAGGTCCCATCCAGTGACAAAATCACATCAGTAACTGAGAATGGATAAGGGAAACTTTGGATATGATGGAAATGTTACATGTCTTATTGGTGGGTGATGTCAAAAGTTACATCCACTTGTGTAAAATCCATCACACTGTGCATTTTAAAATGTGTGTTTTAGCTGTCCATGTTTACTGACGTTAGTAATAATAACTGTCTTACTGGACTGTTGTAAAGAGCACAGGTGGAGAATTCGACTTTGCTTGGCACAATGATGGTTCCTATCATTAGCTACAACAGTTTTATAACTGAGCAGGGATGGTTTCTGTCTTTACCAGTTTTATCCCAGAATTAAGTCCAAGCTTTTGTCCAGTGCAAGTGTTGAATGAGTATTTCAAAATGTTGAGTGAATGAACTCCCCTACTAAATATACTCTGTGCCCTTTCGCATCTCGGAGTTTGAACAATGATAGAGAAATTCCTTAGCACAGGGTAGGAGGTCCTTCAGAACAGGAGCTCGGGGTGTGTTCCCAAGGTGTCTGCAGCCACTGTCTTAGCCACTGATCCCTAAGCTACAGCAGATGAATGCAGTTTGAACTGCTCCTAAGAGGACTTCTGTGTCTAGTGTCCCCCCTCATCTCAATTTATAGAACTCCTAGCTCACCTTGCAGGGGGCTTTTCTAGCTTTCCCAGGCAGTTGTGATCCCTCTTGGGACCCTCTCATTTACTCCCTTATTCCTTGTTCATTTATTCACTGAACACCTGCTTGATGCCAAACACAGAGTGACACATTAAAGAGACAAAGAAGTAGGAGAGAGTAAGATAAAGCTGGGTAAAAGGGAGTCAACACTTAAAAGTATCTGCAGTCTCTAGCACCATTTAGATTTCCAATCCATGAACATGGTAAACCTGTTTATTCAGTCATCTCTTACTGTTCTCGGCAGTGTTCCATATGGCACAGGTCTTACGTAACCATCTTTGGACAGATTTACCTCTAAGCATTTCATATTTCTAATGCTATTTTACATGGTGGTGTTTTTAGTCTCAATTTCCAATTGTTTTTGCTAGTATGTAGGAATAGAGTTGATATTTTTATGTTTACTGTATATTCTGCATTCATGGATTGTCTCGAATGATGTGGTAGAGCCTCATGACAGCTGCCTCCAGGGAATATCTCCCAGGATGTCCTCTATCACCTCCACCTGCTCCACCAGGTCTGTCTGTGACATTTACCAGGGCAGAATTTGTTCAACGTTAAGCACTCGGAAGTGCTTGTCAAAATGCGCTCATCCTGCAGTAGGAGCCCCCATCCCCCCAGAAATGGGAGATACCCAGAGAGAGGGGTGAGCTCCAGAAGACTGGTTGCACCCCTGCTCAGGAAGCCCATGCTGTTGTCAAATCCCTGGCTCCCTTTCTGCACACGCTTCACAGAAGGAAGGAGCAAAGCATCCTTGTGAAATCCAGGCTTCAGTCAACAAATAGTAAGAATTCTGTTGGCCATACACTGGGGTTAAAACAAAATGACTCAAACAGCTTACCCTGGAGTGCATAAGCCAACAGTTCAGTTCAGTTCAGTTCAGTTGCTCAGTCATGTCTGACTCTTTGCAATTCCATGGACTACAGCACACCAGGCCTCCCTGTCCATCGCCAACTCCTGGAGTTCACTCAAACTCATGTCCATTGAGTCGATGATGCCATCCAGCCATCTCATCCTCTGTCGTCCCCTTCTCCTGCTTTCAATCTTTCCCAGCATCAGGGTCTTTTCAAATGAGTCAGTTCTTCGCATCAGGTGGCCAAAGTATTAGTGTTTCAGTTTTAGCATCAGTCCTTCCAATGAATATTAAGGGTTGATCTTGCTGTTCAAGGGACTCTTTAAGAGTCTTCTCCAACACCACAGTTCAAAAGCATCAATTCTTTGGCTCTCGGCTTTCTTTATAGTCCAACTCTCACATCCATACATGACTATTGAAAAAACCATAGCTTTGACGAGACAGACCTTTGTTGGTAAAGTAATGTCTCTGCTTTTTAATATGCTGTCTAGGTTGGTCATAACTTTCCTTCCAAGGAGTAAGCGTCTTTTAATTTCATGGCTGCAGTCACCATCTGCAGTGATTTTGGAGCCCCCCAAAATAAAGTCTGTCACTGTTTCCACTGTTTCCCCATCTGTTTGCCATGAAGTGATGGGACCAGATACCATGATCTTAGTTTTCTGAGTGTTGAGCTTTAAGCCAACTTTTTCACTCTTCTCATTCACTTTCAACAGTTCACACAGCGTTTAATAATTGCTGAGAGAGCGGTAAGTTGGGGGCTGGGCAGCACTCAAATCAGCCCAGTGGACCCTCACACTGTGTCCCAGAGGAAGGGATGCTTGTCATCTGAAAAAATAATGCAGGAGGCTGTGACTGAGAACAGAGTTTATCTAGGGTTGTGTTTAGTGTGGCCACCTCCATGAAAGTCTCCGCTGGATCTTCTAGATAATGTGCTTCAGTTTCTACATCAGCTCTTGCTGTTTCTTTTTGCACTTTTATATTATGGAGATGGCTTCTTTCCTTAAACCTCAGGAACCAACCTCTGCTAACTCCAGACTTTTCTTGTGCA